AGCTTGTACAGTCCTTTGTGTAGAGCCTAGCTCTCAGGGACCACTCAATAAATTGTAGATGCCATGACTGTTGTCTGTCCAAGCATCACTTCATTCAAAATGCACACACTGATTGCAACCATTCTCTGGGGCTATGCAAGTTTTACTGGCATTATGGGGACAGATAAGGCACCATGTCTGACTTCACCAATGAGCTAGGTCAAAGCTAAGCACAATGGCTGAGGGCCATTCTAAATGGATGCCCGTGGGGTCTAGGGGCCAAGGGGAGAGCATGGCTGAGTTCTTCATTTCCTTCCACTCCCTATTGATGGGTTCAATGAAGTCAAGAGGTCACTAGGGGCCTCTTATCCCAACTCACAGGCTTGCCAGAAGCCTCTTGCTCACAGCACAGAAGGGAGACCCCCCCGCCAATCCTCTACCATTACTAAAGCATCATTTTGCTCTGGAGAGTAACTGAGCAAAGTGAAATTATTACTGATGGCCTCCCATATGGAAAAACATTCTGTTCATTGCCGGAGATGTAAAGATGAATGAAAGAACAAGACTCAATTTCTGCTCGTGGTTCTGGTGCAAAAAACAAATACATAATATGGACACATTGATATAACATGATATAAAAGGTTCTATGTGCAGGAAATTCTGGGAACATAAAGAGAATGTTTGAAGAAGTTGCTTGAGTTGAATTTTGAAGAATAAGCACGAGTTAACAGGGTGCAGAAGGTGAGAAATGCCTTCTGCAGAGAGGGAGCACTATACACAAAGGGTGGGATGGTAGAGGAGTGAGACACAAGAGTGGGTGAAGTGTGAGGTACGCAGTGAAGACAAAGGCAGAGGGGAGGCTGATGGACAGCCTAGTCATGGAGGACCTTGAGTGCTAAGTATTGTTTTGCAATGAAGATCCATAATTATATGAGACTCAGGTGGAGAAAAGCTAGTCTTATAGTTGCAACGGGAGAATCCAAGGCTTCCTCCAAGGAACAGGGCTGTGTGGTCCCTAGAACCCCACGTTGCCTGGACTCAGCTTATCTCCATTCTAACTTCCTTGCATTCTCACTTGCTGTCTGTGCCAATCTTACTGGCTTACTTCCAGTTCTGTAGAAGCCATGGGACCTTTGCCTATATTGTGGTTTTCTCTGCCTAAGTAATAGGTCCCCAATTACTTATAAGAGTATTAAATTAATGTCTGTCTTCCACATTAGACTTCAATGTTCAACATCATAACCAACTGTCTTTGTTCAACATCATAACCTCAGTATCTAGCATTATGTAGGTTCTCAGTAAATATTTATAGAAGGAAGAAAGGGTAGGAAGAAGGAACTTAACTGTGAATCTAGAACCCCCACAGACTTTCGTATGCCTTTTCCTCTACCCCGTTCACTCCCCAGCTGAGACTGTCTTTGATTCTGTTCAAGGGTTAGGACTAGAACCTCATGCTGGCAATTGAAGCAGTAATTTCCCGTCAGGCCTTGTCATTTGAGTAATTTGCCTCCAGTGGATGAGTACTAATTGATGACAACAATGAAAGCAGTCTTGGTGTCACTCCTTCATAGTTCACTTCCAAAAACTGAAACTAAGCATGTTCAATTAATCTTGGCTACCAACATGGTTAGAGAAAGTGAGCAAGTGTCTGAGAACTGTAGGCTCCCCAGAGTCCACTTGTGTGTCCGTGCAAAGATGGCCCTAAAGCTGACTTAGCCACGGAAAGCCTTAGAACCTTTGCAGAGTGACCAAGAGGCACCGGACCATGCAGTGCTCTTCCGAACCAAGCAGGAACATGAAAACAGGACTGAGAAGGGCAATCACAGCTCTCTACAGTAGTCCCTGCTTGTCCTCAGGGGATGTGTTCCAAGACCCACAGTGGATACCTTAGTCCATGTATACTACCCAACCCTGTATATGCTATTTGTCCTATACATACATAGCTATATTAAAGTTTAATTTACAAATTAGGAACAGTAAAATATTAACAACAACAACTAATGATGTAATAGAACAATTATAACAGTAATCAAAATGGCACACAATTTGAAACTTACCAATTGTATATATCTGGAATTTCCCATTTAATATTTTCAGACCTGGGTTGACCATGGTATCTGGAATTGCAGAAAGCAAAGCCATGGAGATGGGGGAACTACTCTACTCAGGTTTTGATAGAATTTCAGAAGGATTGTATTCTCCATGGGGTATTGTCTTTATTGAAAATGTGCAGTGGTGAGGGGCAAGTGGACCAGGGTTCAAATCCTGGCTGATCATTTACAACCTGTGTGTATTAGGCACCAACTTTGCCCTCTATGAGCTACAGTTTCCTTATCTAGAAACTGTAGGAGAAGGGGATCAAAATAGTACTTCATTTGTTGTCCTTGTAAAGATTAACTAAGATGATGTGAGCAAAATGTGTGGCACCGATCCTTGAATGTGGAAAGTGCTCAGTCTGAATTATCCACTATTATTATCAGTTAATATGATTATTATCACCCTAAGTATCATCTTCCCAGAGTAGAAATACCAGTTTAGATTTTCGGATATTTATATGGCTTTCACAGTGTGCTAGGACCTATGCAGATGAGCTTAGATTTTTAGATATTTGACTTTAAGTGTGCTAGAACCTATCTAGCTGTTGTTACCAAAGATGTATACAAGAAAGTTCCTAGCAAGAATATTTGGAGCCCCAAACTGGAAATAGTCCCGATACCAATCGATAGTAGAATAGATAAATAGACTCAATACAGCCACATAATGGAATACTATATGATGATTAAGATAAATATGGTAACCTGGATACTATACAGTGATCAATGATTATTATTATAGCGATTAGAATAAACTAGCATGACTCACAGTCACATGATGAATCTCATGGAATGTAATGTTGAATGAAGAAGCCAAACAGGAGAGAATGCATACTGTATGATCCCATTAGATGCCATGCAAATGCAGGTGAAACAAATCTATGGTATTAGAAGCTAAAATAATGTAGCCTCTGGGGAAGAGGGTAGGAATTTTACTCAGGAAGGGAGGGGACTGGTAATGTGTCATGTTATGGTCTGGGTGCTGGGCAGTTGGGTGTGCTTACTTTGTAAAAATTCATTGGGTTGTATATTCTGATTTATGCACTTTTCTGTGTCTACATTATGCTTCGATTAAAGGTTTACTAAACAAATGAGCCTGTTCAGCAGAGAGCAAAAAGCACGTAGTACAATTCTCTGCTTACCCATAAGGGGCCTGAAAGTTTACAGCATGAGGCAGACAGGCAAATGCACGTACAGATAATGAGTAGTGATACCCATAATAATAGAATTGTGTACCACATGCAGAATCACCATTGAGGGGAGTATGATCAGCCGTCACAGCCTCTGCTTGTGTCAGTGTTCTGTGTTCCATGTGGTTCATGCAGGGGGCCCATCTTCCTCATTCCTTCCCACACATGACTAAGCCATTCCATGGCAGGAACTTTGCTCACATCTGTCCACTCTCCATATCAGCACCACTGCCTTCATTTTGGACAGCCATCTTTGATACAACATTGGCCTCTCTTCCTGCCCTTCTTTAAATCACTTGGTATAACTCAGATCTGCCAAGTTATAATCTTTGTATTGGGTCCTCCGGATTCTTAAAAAGCATCCTGTGGGCCGGGCACAGGGGCTCATGCCTGTAATCCCGGTTCTTTGGGAGGCCTGAGGTCAGGAGTTTGAGACCAGCCTGGCCAACATGGTGAAACCCCCATCTCTACTAAAAATACAAAAATTAGCCAGTAGTGGTGGCATGCACCTATAATCCCAGCTACCCAGGAGGCTGAGACAGGAGAATCGCTGGAACCTGGAGACAGAGGCTGCAGTCAGCCAAAATCATGCCACTGCACTCCAGTCTGGATGACAGAGCAAGACTCTGTCAAAAAAAAAAAAAAAAAAAAGCACCCTGTGTGATTCTGATTCACCCCAATCCTTGAGAAGCACTGCTCTCCACTGGAAGCAGAGCTCACACCTGATCTTGACCCCCTTCACATAACAAATCGTCCAGGGCTACCAGAAAGCATCTTAACTTACTGACTTTTCCCAATTTGTCTCCCAAAGACATTTTCAGCCTCATTTCCACCCTTCCCTTCTAGATCCCCACTATTCTAGATTCCCACCATCCCTGCCCCATTTTAAGTTTGCCTCTATTCGCCTAAAAACATATGGACTATTCCATACGGACTGAGCGTGAAAGAAATGTAGTTACTCAAAGTAAATTAAGGAGCTGTTTTCAGAAGAAAGGAAATGGATGATGGATAAACAAGAAAAAGTGGCCCACTAGAATTGTATATGGTGCTGCATATTGTGCTGTATACATATATGGTGTATGGGTATGTGTACATGTATACATTACATGCATATACCATATGTATGTATATGGTCCTGTATGTGTATATGGTGTATATGTATGTATATACCATACACATGTGTATGTATATGTGTATACTGTATACATGTATATGCACATCGTTAATTCTCATTCCTTGAATCTGTTTTGCTATTTAGCCCTCATCCCTGTGCCGTTGAATAGCCTATAATGTCTTCCATATTCTTAAGAGCCTTCTCATCTCCTGCTTATCTTCAATACCCAGCTCAAATATCGTCTCTGTCAGGTCTCCTCAATGCTCCTGAGCACCCTGTGGTTCTACTCAGTCACCCACACATGCCAAGATTAGATCACTTCCCTCAAATGTCACTCTGCCGGATCTGACTCTTCACTCTACTGAGAACACACTCAAGTGTGCATTCTCAGAGCTTAGCACCTCCTGGAACATGAGAGGTCGTCAAGGACATGTCTTGATTGAGTGAAGTCCATCAGCACAAAGTCACTTGGGTACAAGCAGCTTGCTGTGGGATAAAGGGTAGCATTTGTGAGTTCTGGGGTGGGGAACTATGTGGCAATTCATACTTAACAGGTCAGAAATATCTCAGAGCTAAGCTGCCCAACCTACTCATGATCCTTCTGTTGTTTTCTTTGTTTCCCAGTGACCTTCAGTGACTGTAAGGGAAATGACAAGCTACGCTATGAGGTCTCAAGCCCATACTTCAAGGTGAACAGCGATGGTGGCTTAGTTGCCCTGAGAAACATAACTGCGGTGGGCAAGACTCTGTTCGTCCATGCACGGACTCCCCATGCAGAAGATATGGCAGAACTCGTGATTGTCGGGGGGAGAGACATCCAGGGCTCCTTGCAGGTAACACATCTGTTTGAGATAACTTGGGTTCAAGGAGGACTTTAGGTTCTGTCTGTCTTATGTGGAATGTGAGTCTTTATTTTATTATGTTGGCTAAGATTGTCTTTGTTATTGTTGTTGCAAATGACAGAAATCCAACTCTAAAAATGTATGGGGGAGGGGCAGTGGGAATTAACTGAGTCGTGTAACTAATTTAGGGATAGTTCATGGATTAATTCATGGAACTATTTAAGGGATACTTCTGCCTTCAGGAATGGCTATGTACTGGTGTCCAAATCAGCTTTAATCCCTATACACCTTGTGGCTCCATTTTCCTTTTATTAGATATACTGAGGCAGTCACATGTCTTCCTACCTCCCAAGGTGGAGGTCTCAGGAACTCCCCTCATTCTCCTGGTGTGAAGTCACGTGAGAAAGCATCTCTTCAAGATAATGCTAACAAAACCTTGAAATTGAATTTCGTAGGTTAGATCATGTACCTACCCCTGAACTAAACATGGTGTCCATTGGGTTGTGATGTTCTGGTTGGCCACGTCTTGGTCACTTTTCTTTTCCTGAAGCCAGGGCAGAGTCAGCCCTATTCACCTGAAAACACATGGACTGAGAGTGAAAGAAATGTAGTTCCTCAAAGTAAATTAAAGAACTGTTTTCAGAGGAAAGGAAATGGATGGTGGATAGGCAAGAAACAGTGGCCCACTAGAATTATATGTGGTGCTGCATATTGTGCTGTACACCTATATGGGTGTATGTGTATGTGTACATATGTGTACACATATACATTACATGCACATATACCATATGTATGTACATGGTGCTGTATGTGTAGATGGTGTATATGTATGTGTATAAGATATACATGTATATGTACCATATACCTATGTGGTATAAGATATACATGTATATGTACCATATACCTATGTGTATATGTATACATACATAGGGTATATGTGCATATAATGTATACACATATGTATACATCCACATTTAATATGTCAGAGATATCTCAAAGCTAAGCTGCCCAACCTACTCATGCTCCTTCTGTTGTTTTGTTTTGTTTCCCAGTGACCTTCAGTGACTTCAGTATATGTGTGTGTGTATACGTATATATGTATATGTATATGTAATTGTTTATGGTTCTGTATATGTATATGGTGTATATGTACGTCTATGCCTATACATCCACATTTAACAGGTCATAGGTATCTCAGAGCTAAGCTGCCCAACTTACTCCTGCTCCTTCTGTTTTTTGTTTCCCAATGACTTTTGGTGACTTCAGTATATATATGTGTGTGTATATGTGTATACGTATGTACAGGCATACACATACTGTATTTGCACATATACTGTGTATATGTATGTGTGTATATGTGTATATGTATATACAGGCATACACACATACTGTATTTGCACATATACTGTGTATATGTATGTGTGTATAGGTGTATATGTATATACAGGCATACACATACTGTATATGCACATATATTGTGTATATGTATGTGTGTATGTATATGCAGGCATACACATACTGTATATGCACATATACTATGTATATACATACACACATGGTATATCTGTATTATATGTGTGTGTTATTGCATATGGTGCTTCTCCTTTGCCAGGCAGCAGTGCTTGTTCCCTTCCACAAGCACAGGCATGCTGATCCCTGCACTCCCACACATATGCATACTTTATGAGTGTCACAAACTGCCATTCAGGCTTCCCGACTGTGCCATTCAGAGACTTTTTGCTACCACTGACTCACTCCTTCTTCACCAGGAGCTCAGAGACTCTACCTTCATGAGAAAAGGAGGGCAAGACACACAGCAGGACTCCAGTCAAACAATGACTTAACGATGGCATGCCCCTGCTTGGCATGCCTAGCCTTCTCTCCTACCTGCGAGCTTGGTCTTCCTCAATTTTCCACAGCCCCTAATTCACATCCCTTTTCTCCACTTGCCATATTACCCATATCCCTGCTTGATCTACTCATTTTGTTCAGTGGTGGAGCGAGCGTGGGTCACACAGCTGGGAGCAGAGACAGTACGACTGGCAATGTGAGAGTTACCTTCCTGCCAGTGCTGTCTGTGTGATCTTGAGAGCATCATATAGCTTCTTTATCTACAGAGTAGAGAGGTTAAACAGCCTGCAGTGGCAAATAAGTGGCTTATGTGCCACTCTACTGTCACCATGCTTATGGCAGATATTGCTAATAACCCCCGGCTTAGCCTGAGTGTCCTTCTCAGTGCAGTGCTTCTGGAACCTACTATCAATTGATCATCTTGCAATGTTTCTGAGGATGGAATCTATCTGCCATTCCTGGGCTGGATGAACTTCACAATTCCCCTTCAGTATCTGTGAAGCTGTGAGTTAAGGGTAGATGGCAACCTAAAAACGAATGCACGGTGTGTCAGTCATGTTTCAGAGCAAACAGGATGTTGGTGAATTCATACCAGTGTGGAAATCCATTGACACCACAAAGGCAAGCTTTTCTCTTACTTAGCCATGACCCTTTTCACAGCATCTCACTAATCTGTGATACAAATTATGTGGCAAATATCTAAAGCAACAAAGTTGCCAGGATGTACAGCAAAAACAATATTCCATAGAAACAAGTAAATGGTATGGTTAGGGGGTTTGCCCATGGGCTCGAATGCATTTAGATAGCGATTGTTCATCATGAATGGTGGCCCATCTTTTTATCTGGAAAAGAGACGCTGTTATGGTATTTTGCTTGAAAGAGAGCAGAAGGGGTTCTGTGCAGGTTCTCGGGGCCAACTCCACCTTGAGGGGCTGGGAGAGCTGGGTTCGTTATGAAAACTCAGCCACGCGTTGTTGGTCCCCTGAGTTCCCATGAGATGCCATCTAGAGACAAAGCTCCCGTGAGCCCTGGGTGTTTCTCGCTTGCCGCTATCTGTAAGCAATTTCGACAAAACTTGGCTGTGATTGTTTTTGCTTCTTATAAAGCGGGCGGAGGCTGCCGTGTCCTTCAGTTTGCCAGACTTCAGCAGAACAGGGCGTTCATCTCCCACTTCCAGTAATTTTATAAGATTTGAAAAAAGGCTTTGTGAAGATGTATAGCTGTGTCCTTCCTAAAAATGCCTGAAAAAAGGAAAAAAAAGTAAAAGAAAATGAAGGGAAAACAAAATAGATACCTCAATGGATATGCAGCTGGGATGTTTGCGGGTCCTACTGTGTGCAGCCAAGTGGGCCAGCTGCTGGAGGGGAAAATCAGAGAGTGCCTGAGTCAGCTCAGCTCCTGCTGGGGAGGGAATATAAATGTGTGCATTGATGCTTGGGTAGCAGGCAGGGAGCTAACAATGATTGATGATCTGTGCATTTGGAGAGGGGAGAGGTCAAGGGCAGCTGGGCTGGTCCTCAAAGCACAACCATGTGCCAGGTGTTGCTCCATGGACTACAAGCGCTGACTCATGTAATCTCCTTAGCAATTGGAGGCAGATGCTACTGTCTTCTCTCTCATAGTGACTTTTTACTGATTTTACTGATGGAAGAACGGAGGCACAAAGAGGCAAGTGACATTTCCAAGGTCTAAAAATGAATGAGAAGATGGATGGAAATGAGACTTGAGCCCGGGCAGCCTGGCTTCTGCGTCCGTGCCTCCAACTCCTTGATGAGCTGGACTTTGAAGGACGGGTCATTGTGCATAGTTGGGAGGGTCGCCAAGGGAAATGTTGGACTGTCCGCATAGTGCTTCTCTTCATAGCTGTGTTACCTTCAGTCAATTGCTTTACCTCCTGAGCCTCTATGTAGTTTTGATTTTTTCATCTGTAACATAGGGATAATAGACTTGTTTGGATCTTCATGTGGATTAAATGAGACAATATGTGTAGCAGTAATACGTAGCACTCAGCTGATGCTACAGCCATGACCAATACCTATTGTTTACATAATGCTTACTATGTGCTAAACCCTGGGTTTATCCAAGTCTTTCATCCTCACAACAACATGCTAATGGAAGCTGTTACTGGTGCTATTATCATTTGCATCTCCTGGGTGAGGAGACTGAGACACAATGGGGCTGTTTCTTGCTCTGGCCACTTAGCTAGTAGGTGGCAGAGTTGGGGCCCAAACCTCAGCAGTGTCTGGAACTCTCTTCTTTTTTTTTTTTTGGAGTCAGGATCTCAGTCCAATCTCACAGTCTGGAGTGCAATGGTACAATCTCAGCTCACTGCAACCTCCACCTCCTGGGTTCAAGTGATTCTCTTGCCTCAGCTTTCTGAGTGACTGAGATTACAGGCATCCACCACCACAGCTGGCTACTTTTTGTATTTTTAGTAGAGACGGGATTTCACCATGTTGGCCAGGCTGGTCTTGAACTCCTGACCTTAAGTGATCCTTCTGCCTCAGCCTCCCAAAGTGCTGGGATTACAGGTGTGAACCACAGTACCCAACCTGGAGCTCTCCGCTTTATCAGTAGATTCTATTGGCTCAGCATCTGGAACAGAGTAAGCCTGCACCATGTTCACTCCCACAAAGGCAATTATAACAGAGGCAAGCAAGACCTGCAACCCAGAATGTCAGATCGTCAGGACCAGCTCAGTGCCCTTCCCACTTTCCCTCTTCCCATGGCTGAACCTGATAGAACACTCCTGCGGCTGCCTGTAAATTCTGACTCTTGATGCCTGGCTCCCACTCTGCATCCCTCTTCCTTGCACCCTGCATCCTGCTTCTTCCCAGCCCTTTGGTTGGTGATGCTGTTGTGCAGCCTGGGTGCAATTCATCTTCACATTCTCAGCCGGGAGCTCTGCAGTTCCCGGAGATGATTTGGCTCTACCTCAGGGATTAGCCTGCACACCCATGCTCCCCACACAAGCCACGGTCCGGCATCCCAGGGTCCACTTTTCTGGGCCAGAGGAAGCTGGAACAGAAAGGGAATGCTAAATAAAAGCATGGAAACAGGTGGGCAGACAGGATGGAGACAGCATCTGAAGACCAGGAGGAGGGATTCTAGATTGATGTGACAGGAGCTAGGAAGCCATG